ATAATCTTATTCAAGTTTCTTTATAATCTTATTTGAGGTAAACAGTCAATTATTCACAATAAAAACACCAACCTTATAGAAGATATATCAAGCATCTGTGTTTCTTGTGATGAGGAAATCTTCTGTCTGGATTTTGTTTTTATGACATTATGTTTATTACAATAATTTGATACTCAGAAGATTTTGCTTGCATTTCATATTTTATGGTAGGTTATATTGTATTAAATTATTATGTAAACAGACATTTTGAATATATGATAGGTGTGAACATAACTGTACAATACAGTTGAGATATCATTTCTAATTCATAATTCATGATATAGTCTGAAATACATTCTAGACACTAGCAAAGACAGGCTCCAAGGACTTATGGTTTTATGACAGCACTTATGGTTAATGACTATAATCTAACAAATTTCCATTAATTCATAAATAATAAATGTCATTGGCTAGTGATATTTGACAGTTTCTAGTAAAGGTTAAACATAAGAAGTTTATTGTTAATATGAGGGCTAATATTGCTCACCTGATGATATGCTCAAAATAGACAAGATTTAATTATAAGGTTACAAATTTCTAATAAGTTTCATCCAAATTTGATTATCCATTTTCTTTATGATACACTAAATATAACCCAACAATAACTATACCGATAGACATTGATAACAAGAGGGCCATGATGGCCCTAGATCGCTCACCTGATTTATCAAACTCATCCAAACAATTACCTAGACAAGCATTCTGACCAAGTCTCATGACAGGTGAGTCAAAAATGTGACCACTACAGTGTTAACAAGGATTATCCATATTTGAGCAGTGCGACCTAGTTTTTTACCCAGGTGACACATATTCAAACTTGACCTAGAAATCATCAAAACAAACTTTTAGACCAATTTCAAGGATACTTGGATCAAAACAGTAGCAACTAGAGTGTTAACAAGATTTTTCTATTTTTAGCTCCGGTGACCTAGTTCCACATGCGATTTCGAACTCATCCAAGCAATTACCTATACAAGCATCCTGACCAAGTTTGATGATAATTGAGTCGAAAATGTGACCACTAGAATGTTAACAAGGTTTTTCCATATTTGGGCGGTGTGACCTAGTTTTTTTCATCCAAGATGACCAATGTACGAACTTGACTTAGAACAACAGTAGCCACTAGAGTGTTAACAAGATTTTTCTATTTTTAGCTCCGGTGACCTACTTTTTCATCCGAGATGACCCATGTTCAATTTCTTCCCAGCAATGACCTAGACAAGTTTCCTGACCAAGTTTGATGACAATTGAGTCAAAATTGTGACCACTAGAGTGTTAACAAGGTTTTTCTATTTTTAGCTCCTGTGACCTAGTTTTTCATCCGAGATGACCCATGTTCGAACTCATCCGAGCTATCACCTAGACAAGCATCTTGATCAAGTTTGATGATGATTGATGCAAAAATGTGACCACTAGAGTGTTAACAAGGTTTTTCTATTTTTAGCTCCGGTGACCTACTTTTTCATCCGAGATGACCCATGTTCACACTCATCAGAGCTATCAACTAGATAAGCATCCTGACCAAGTTTGATGATGATTGATGCAAAAATGTGACCGCTAGAGTGTTAACAAGGTTTTTCTATTTTTAGCTCCGGTGACCTACTTTTTCATCCGAGATGACCCATGTTCAAACTCATCCGAGCTATCACCTAGACAAGCATCTTGACCAAGTTTGATGATGATTGATGCAAAAATGTGACCGCTAGAGTGTTAACAAGGTTTTTCTATTTTTAGCTCCGGTGACCTACTTTTTCATCCGAGATGACCCATGTTCGAACTCATCCGAGCTATCAACTAGATAAGCATCCTGACCAAGTTTGATGATGATTGATGCAAAAATGTGACCGCTAGAGTGTTAACAAGGTTTTTCTATTTTTAGCTCCGGTGACCTACTTTTTCATCCGAGATGACCCATGTTCGAACTCATCCGAGCTATCAACTAGATAAGCATCCTGACCAAGTTTGATGATGATTGATGCAAAAATGTGACCGCTAGAGTGTTAACAAGGTTTTTCTATTTTTAGCTCCGGTGACCTACTTTTTCATCCGAGATGACCCATGTTCGAACTCATCCGAGCTATCACCTAGACAAGCATCTTGACCAAGTTTGATGATGATTGATGCAAAAATGTGACCGCTAGAGTGTTAACAAGGTTTTTCTTTTTTTAGCTCCGGTGACCTACTTTTTCATCCGAGATGACCCATGTTCGAACTCATCCGAGCTATCACCTAGACAAACATCCTGACCAAGTTTGATGATGATTGAGGCAAAAATGTGACCTCTAGAGTGTTAACAAGGTTTTTCTATTTTTAGCTCTTGTGACCTAGTTTCTCATCCGAGATGACCCATGTTCGAACTCATCCGAGCTATCAACTAGATAAGCATCCTGACCAAGTTTGATGATGATTGAGGCAAAAATGTGACCGCTAGAGTGTTAACAACTAAATGTGAACGGACGACGGACGGACGACGGACGACGGACGACGGACAATCATCGATCCTAAAAGCTCACCCTGAGCATGCTCAGGTGAGCTAAAAAAGTGAAAGCTATTACTTCCTTAGGTAAGGTCTTAAAGGGGCATGATTCTTTCAGTACAAACAACAAATCTATAAATGCAAATTGCTGTGTGATTTTTTAATACTTCACTAAAATTGTTTAGGTTCTGTATAAGTTTAAGTAATTGGAAGAAAATATATGAGAATAAACTATTTGCTGTATTTTCTATGTTTGTTTTTTTTACATCCATTTTAACACATTTTTGTCCTATCTCAGCAGTTTACAAACAGGCTTTCTTTAATAATTAACCAGTAATTATCAATTTCTCCACAAGTGACAGACTTCTGAATCCAACCAGCATAGACTCAATGTTAAATGCATGTTCACATGCATTGATAGGTTCAAGAAAATGTAGATTTTTGGGCGAAAAGTCTGTGAAAAATGGTTGATAACATTGTAAATAATTCAATGGTCAGAGTTATGGGGCATTTATGTGAACATAAGGCATGCACTACTGATATGTTTAAAATGAATATCTATAGGATTCAAAAATATATCATCATTTTTGTAATATTTCAAGTCGTAGAAAGCAACCACATTTCTTAACAATGGAGCATAATAAAATAATTTGCATAATCTCCATACTTTCATCTACCAATGTTTTAAGTTACATGTAAAATGAATTCAAACCCATTTCTATATTATTCCAACCCATTTCTCAATATTGAAACAAACACTGGTATACTGATTTTAATATGCTCTGTACTGTCATCTAAGTATGCATGGTTCAAGTATTATGAAAATATTCAAAGTACATGTAAATTGTACAAGTTTACCAGTAATTATGGCAGACACAGTGTTTGCTGCTTTAAGTTTATTGGTTGTCATGGCAACTACATTCCTCAATATAGGAACAAAATAAAACAAGAGCTGTCAGTAGGACAACAACGCTCGAGTTCATAACAAAAGGACAAAGTTTTTCTTTAAATCCATGTTACAGTTAAAGGAAAGAGTCCTATTATGCTCTCAAAGAAGAGTATAAAATTTCAATTTGTTTCAATAGAATATGAACCTAAATGTAAATTCTAAGTTGAAAAAGGGGCATAATTCTGTCAAAATGCTTGATACAGTTATCTCCTCCTGTCTACACAATGGGGTCATGATGGTGAACAAGTGTGCCATATGTCAATGGACTTTGAAAATATTTGAGGTATTACAAAAACTTTAACGTAAATTCTAAGTCGAAAAAGGGGCATAATTCTGTTAAAATGCTTGATACAATTACCTCCTCCTGTCTACACGTTGGGGTCATGATGGTGAACAAGTGTGCAAAGTTTCAAAGCCATATGTCAATGGACTTTGAAAATATTTGAGGTATTACAAAAACTTTAACATAAGTGGTTACGCCGACACCGACGCTGACGCTCGGGTGACTACAATAGCTCTACTTATTCTTATCGAATAATCGAGCTAATGATATGCAAAATCTTTAGAAAAATACTATATAATATAGAATTATCACATGATCCAATTCTATTGCAGACAGACAGAGAGACAGACAGACAGCAGATCAATGGATGGGCAGAGCCAAATCTATAGTCCCTTACTAATATGTAATGTCAAAGAAACAATCTTCCACAAAATGATATAAAGTTTCCATCCATTCAAATTAATGGCTTTTAAATGAAGACTTACTGTAACTGTTAACTTTAATGCTGATGAAGCCCTGTACCGTTTCATCCAGAAAAATCACAACTAAGTAGTCTAAACATGTTCTATACTGGTGACTGCATAATCAATATTTCCATTTTAAAAGCAAAATCCAAAAACATATAACAAGATATACATAACTAAACTTTGTCTAGTTTCAAAACAAGACAAATCTAAAGCAGGATAAAATCCCTTGCTAAATTTCAAAGCAGGACATATCCATTACACAGACTTAAAGCAGGCAGGCCTATTAGTGCAGGACAAAAATCATTACACAAATTCAAAGCCGGCAAGCCTACTACACAAAGAGGACAAAGTTCATTACACAAACCCAAAGCATAGAACTATGTCCATTTTTCCAGACATAAAGCACAAAGTCATCAATGCCCAGGAAACAATAATAACAATCATAGGCAACAGTATCATTTTGATGATTTCTTTAATAAGCAGACATGAAGTAGAAGTTATTGTCACTGATCTCTTACAACAATCTTATCAGATTTTATTCACCAATTAACAAAACAGTGACAGTAAAAACAAACAACAACATCAGTCTCTGCCTGGCATGACAATAACAACCACAACAATAACAACAACAACACATGGTATTTAGGAATTGCATAAATATAATACAACTTAGGATAGATAAACATAAAAGTCTAACTACTTAAAACAATAAATCAAGAAGAACTTGAACAACTGGGGAAAAAAGGTCAAACAATATGGGTAGAACAATATTTATTATTTTAATACCTTTCTTTTAACCTTTCCTTTATGAATCAAGCGCTGTAAAACAGATGGAGACTAATGATTAAATCTATAGCTTCATATATCAACTAATGGTATTATATTCGGGTTCTGAAATGTTTTTTGTTACAAATCATATCATTTGTCTGATATAACATTATATTATTGTCAACTTAATTCATACAATAACCTAGATATTCCCTGTATATTTATCAACCTTTCTCAGTTTTCAATACTTAAAACAGTTTTTGCCAATTTAATGAGGAAATATTTTGTAATATGTCAGAGCCCATCTAAGAGTAAAAACACTTATTTTTACTTCCTTATATAGGAAATTTGCAATTACCAATAGTGGCAAAAAAATTAGGAATATAAAGTTTCAAATCAGAAACATAATAACAATGTAGTTATGTACCGGTATCTGACAATTTTCTAAATATGAAATAAGTACCTTACAATTAACTTTCTAGGTGTTTCTTGAAGCAATTTTCTACAGTCTCCACTGTAAATATCATTTTTGACTAGAAAATTGCTGCATATGATTCATACCCCCCCCCCCAACATGCTTTAACAGACGTTGGCTTGGAAAACTTATGAAAATAGGAGTTTTTGGAGAAAAGATAATTAAAGAGAATTTATCCTCATGAAAATAAAGGCAGCACAATTTGTACAGGTATCAACCTTATATAAAGTTTGTAATAGATACTATTGCCCATTTCAAATCAATGTTGGTTGTTACCTTATTTATTTCATCATTGTTGTTATAAAACAGTTCAATGTTTCTGGCAATGTCAGATTTGAGATCAATCTTTATATGAACAATTTTATTCATGACCTGTTATCATGTTTAGTGCAAGTTTAATAGAGCTGTTCCTATTGACATGAATACACAAAGTTCCATTACTGGACAATAGTAATCATGGTTCTATTCCTAGTTTGTTTCTCAAATTCTCATCTTTACAAGTGCAGTAATCTACCAAGACTTATAAATCCCCAGTTATTATTTTGATAAGGATCACAAGAGCTTATTTTTTTCAATATGTTCTTTGTAAGTTATAATGACATTGCCTGAATTTATAATTTTCACAACTGAATTTAATAATTTGACCAGTATTTTGAAAAGGACAACTGATATGCTGATATTACATCCAAAATATTAGAGCTGTGGACCTTGTACAAGAAGAATTTGAAATAAATAACAAATGACCCTAGATGCAATGCAAATTTTGACACCAGTCAAATAATCATTAGAAAAGTTGGAATGGACTACTAGATGATGCCAACTGAAAGAATTCTACAGGCTTGTTTGTTTGCATGTTTTTCTGGTTTTAACACAAATTTATATATAATTTGGTGATATCTTATAGATCCGCCTACTAAATGGTTTTCCTGGATAACCAGTGATTATCAATTTCTCTGCAAGTGACTACTAACCCTACATCATTTCTGTATCAGCCTTGAGAGACATATGACTATTAGACTTAATGTCCTAGATCAATTGTTGTCACAGGGAAATTATGTCTCAAGAGAGGATCACACCAACAACCTCTGCATTACTAATCTATTGAGGTAAGTTGGCATTACAGTACATCTGGTATTATATTTGGGTGACAGATTAAGTAAAATGGTTACTGACTCTGGTCCTGATTTATTTCTAATAACTACTTTTACTTTCTCATACAAAAATTGGTTAATATTGTAGTTACTAAATCAAGTTTACATCAAGCAATATAGCTTACAACTATTATGAATGGTCCCCTCATATCATAAGATAATACTTATTTCAGTATGATCCACATTTGGCAATCATAGGCTTATATTCATTGCAGTGGCCTACATTTAGCAATAGCTTATACTAACTGCAGTATAAAAATAAACTGGTCCACATTTGACAATCATTAAATTATACTTATTGCAGTGGTCTTCATTTGACAATGCCTCATACTGCAAAACAGAATAAGAATAAACTAGAACATATTTGACAATAGCTATAACTGATGTATTGTCGGTACTTACAGGTCCTGGTTTGGCAATTGCTAACTGACGTTCCATCTGAAGCCGTTCTTTAGCAGCTTGTTTTATGATTGACACCAGTTCCTCTTTCTCCTCATACATCTCAGAATTCTGTTCATAAAATGATGTAAAAACAAATAAATAAATAAATACTAATATTTTATGAACACAATGGTACATCAAATGTTTTGGCATTACTTGAATGCAGGCAGAAAGTGGCTTAATAAATGTTGCACCTGGTTTATTAAACTGTTTCCCCTATTATGGAAGTAAGAGGTTGGAGAATTTAAGAGGACAGGAGCAGCTATGGCTATAATCATATATTGTTATTTCTAACACTTTAATTTAGGACTAACACATACATCACTCTCATACAGTATGTAAAATTTTACTTTGAGAAGAGGAGAGATAAATTCTAAGCTCCATGGAAAATGAAGACATGCTAAACATAAAAATAATTAACATTTTAATATAATTTAGATGGAAATACAATCAATACAGAAAGAAGAAATTAAAGCAAAATTTGCATTCATAACATATCAATATGAGAAGAAATGTCAATATTTTAAATTGATTCAAAATATTTTGTTTCCGCTTTTTTGTAAATGTAGAATAGTTTCATTTGAAGGTAACTTCAAGGACTAACTGATGAATGGCAGCAAGAAATATGTCTACAACTAGGATTATTGTCTATATATCTGTAAAATCCGTTGTAATGATATTTCCCCTTGAGACACATTGATTGGTCACATCTGTTTGTTCTGCTAATGAGAAGCTTGTATGGAATCACTTTGTAAATAAAACATTAATTGTCTGATATACTTTGTAAGGAAGCAATTTAGTTTTCTAAGCAGTTGGGCTGAATAATATGTAGATAGATTCAAATGGCAAGTAGTTGGGATGAATTACATGTACTTGTAGTTGGGATGAATTTGAAGCAGTTGTGCTGAATTATATGTAGTTAGGTTATATTGGAAATAGTTGTGCTGAATTATATGTAGTTGGGGTAAATTATATGTAGTTATATTTATTTTATGTCCGTTAAAAAATATAACATTGAGCATCAGTCTGTGACAGTTTATAATTTACGTTAGTGAAATGGTTAGAGCAAAATTTTCATTTCATTTAGTTGTTGTCACTGTACCTGCTTCCTAAAAATTCAATACATCATAAAATGTTTATATAAGAAAAAGTATCTCATACCAATTTAATACTGTTACTTTACAATTTGTACTATTCAGTGACTGTATATATACAATCAAATTACAATAATTATATAGCCACAGAAAGTTAAGGGAGCTAATTACTACTATGACACAATATTTAGTGTATTGTTTATTGAAGAGTAGTCTCCTTCTAAAATAACAAGATCAGTACATAATGCTGCGTAATAAATCTATCATTTTATTGTAAACATAATGCAATGTTTAATGTTCAAGGTAAATTTTTGTTTGTTTTTTTGCTTGTTGGTTTTTACATTGCACAAACATATTGCAACTTTCCAGCTATACTGGTGGAGAAAGACCTCAGGTGCCCTTCCGTGCATTATTTCAGTCACAAATACCTGAGTAAAACCACTGACGTTCTGTAAGCTAGCTGGATAGCTTTCTCACATGAAAGAATCCAAAGTCCCTTTTTGGATTCGAACCCACAGAGGTGAGGGGCAAGTGGTCTGAAGTCAACAACCAATTGGCCCAGCCTTGGGGTCATAGTTTTTCTCTTTGTTTACATAGTAAACAATAATTTATTAGTTATCTTCATCTATTAAACACCAATTTGACCCTTGAACAATAATCTAAACAATCTTGGTGCAGAGTCAACTAGACAATTTTTCATGTGAAATATCTAAGCTTAAGCCATTGGGCTTTCAGAGAATAAGATTGTTAACAGTGTTACTGTATAAATAAGATTCATTTGACCAAAAGCAATTATCAACAACCTTGTAGGAAGTAGTAATGTTTAATGCCAAATATCTAGATCCTGTCCTTGTGGTTTCAGATTAGAAATTATCAGATTTTACTATGTACTTTATAATCTTATAAGGAAAACCCAGGACTCCCACCCACAATCCCCTGGTGGGATCATTTTGACCCTAGAGATATAATTCCAACAACTTCAGTAGGGGACCTCTAAATAATGTTACATTCCACATACCAAAATTCTGGGCTATGTCACTTTCAGACAGGTAAATTAATGAAATTTGTAATTTTAGCAACTAACTGGTATCATGATAGGGGACATTTAAATTACCAAGGATAATCCAAGGGTAGTTTGGTTAATAGCCAGGTATAAGTTTCAGAGAAGATATTGTTTTTCAAGAAATTGTTGACAACAACTCACTGATGCCGGATGAAGGGGAAGCACAATAGCTCACTATGAGCACATTGTACTCAGGTTTACCAAAAAGATACACTTTATTACTAATGTAAAAATAATTTTAATGAAATTCTTACCTTCAATAGCATTTCTATACGTTGAAGGATATCCATGATATTACATATATTAAGAATTCACAGAATTTTTACATATAAATCAGTTAACTGTCATTGTCTAACACTTGTCACACCATCTCTTTAGAACACATATTTTACTAGCTTACTGCTTAACTCATTTATATTTGATTGATTGTATTTATCCACTTTAAAATAAATCCTTCATTATCTAATTACAAAGAAGTACATAGACTCTTACTTCATGTTTTATTACATATCTTCCTAACTGTTAAAGCTTAATTTTGAATCAACCTTCCTGTTTACTTGTAATATGTTTTTTTTATGTTTTGCAGTATAAACATTCAAATACCTTCTTTAAACATGTATCTAACACAGGCAGTTGACAAATTTATTCATTGAGTCATATTGATAAGGGAACATAATGTTTATATTATAAATAGTAAAGTTTTACATAATCCATACATATCATATATACACTACACCAATAAGTTTCACCCATTTATGGTGGGTTTTTTTGTGTTTCTTTCATAATTTCCTTATTTCACCAAATAATTTTTTCCATGTGTATACATCCAAATAGAAAAAAAAATGTTTATGTTTCAATAGACACAAAGACCTTAAGGGTGCAAGTTGTATGTATATATATATATATATGAAATAATTGCCTGTCCCTGATCTATAATATAGATTACTATATCTCTAAGTACATAGATATATATGTCAACAAGACTGACTAATCTTAGGTGATAATATTTTTATAATTATTATACCGAAACTTTAACACATTCAAGGTTCTGTCTGGTGTAACACAGATAACATAAACTAACTTAATATTGTCAATTTGTAAGAAAATTGAACCTTAAAGTAAATATTTTTAAAACCAAGTCTTAATATTAAAATGGTAAGATAATTATCAACTTTCAACTGTCTTCTTTAAATAGTTTTCAAAATTAATGAATCTCATGTAATTAAATTATATATATCTACATGTGTATGTGTTCTATATCAATATGATAGCAAGTATGATAATAAAAGATAAATAAAATTATCTTTTTAGATACAAATTCGCACCAAATTTATGATATTGACAAACCTATTAAATTGATCTTTTGACTGACAGATATTAAATATAATAACTGCAATTTAAACTATTATATGTCATATTGTGAGAAATGATTAATCTATCAATTTATTCTATAATTTAATTAACATAATTATTCAAATACCTCAGGTCCAAGAAAATCAGCATTGCTTAGTTGGTCTGCCAGTTCTTGACATTTTTTCCGGAGTTCTTCAATTTCACGATCCTTGGCTAGCATTTGCTTGGCATGTTCAGCTAGATCTTTTGCTCTCTGGCGTGCAAACATTTTCTTCATCTGGTCAGTTCCGTGTACCCCACTTGCAAGCTGGCTCCCGGCTGCCATCTCCTTGGCTTTCTACATATTGTTTATAAATGTTGAATATAATTAATATTGTGTTTACTTTAAAGGTTGATGATTCATTAACACATTAGAGGGTGAATGTTTATATCAAACCATTTTTTGTAGTTATTTAACTTACCGGAATGTTTATATCAAATCATTTTTTGTAGTTATTTAACTTACCTTTAAGTAACAAAAAAATACAATTCATGAAATGTCAAAATAATGGAGATTATACAATGGGAAGTAACTCTTGAAATCTATGTTGGAAAGTGATGCAAGAGTTATCTGCACTCATTATTCAGATCAATAAAAATAAAGAATGATATTTTATATGATAAAAGTGATGGTTTTATGACCTTTAGATTATTAGTCCTATTTGCTGACAAATATGCTAAAACTAAACTACAAAAAAAATACTGAGTTATAATCCCTGACTTTCAATTTTTATTTTCCTTTTACAACAACCTCAATTATTTTGAAATTATTATCAATACCACATAAACACCATTTTTTCACGCAACAAAAAAATATAACAATATCAAACATCTACTCCAAACCGGGTAGAGACCGGACAATAAACGTGTGATATCACTAGTAAATCCTGGTCAAAATAGACCGGGAGAGACCGGGGATTACCGATAGGAGTACATCCCTCTATAAATAGATTTTCGGAATGTTTAGTTCATCCACTCATCATTCTATTTACAGCTTTCGGAAACATGTAAAACAATAACATACCATAATAACCAACTGTGTACTACAAAATGATAAATAAAAAACGCCGAAGAGCGCTAATTATTGACGGAAAAGGTTATTTCATTTTAAAATGTTTGCATTGCGAAATTCTCCAGTTCGCTATTCATTGAACATATCGCAACATTTCATTAATTAATAATCAAGCACCCTCATACCGATCGGAATGATCGGCTTTTATCATGACCGACTAAAAGGCTCGAGAAATTGCTGTCGCCCTTTCACAAAATCTGATTTCATTCCATAAAGGGTGCCGCGCTTCGGCGCGGACGCCTACAATTTAATAAGATATAGTCAAACCACTTGTTCAAGGTGACTTATTTTATGTCATAATTTGTTTTACCCAAACCTTGCTGCTTTAATCTTGCTTGATCTGGTCTAGCAGTATAACCAATATACGACAATACAAGTTTGACTGTATTGTATACTCTCAAAGTTTTCAAAGTCTGCAGTTTGATTTCTGAGGATACAGTATCCTCAGAAATCAAACTGCAGACTTTGAAAACTTTGAGAGTATGACATGAAAGAAACAAAGGTTTTACCTTCATATTTTCTTGTTGTAAATGTTTGGCCTTCTCTTCCAGCCGTCGTGCAATAGCAGCAAGCTCAGCATTACGTTTTTTTAATGTTTTAATCTTTTCTTCCAGTGGTTTTTTATCATCTTGCTTGCGTTTCTGTAAATTGAAATCATAATTTGATATTTTGCATACAAACTATCCTTAGTTTTTCCCAAATTAATATAAATAACCATTTATTGCATCTTTAAAATGCATTCTACCTAACTCTTATACCTTTTTTTTCACTTCCTTAACAACTCACTGAATGTCTGGTTACCTGAGTTTGAGGTGACCTTACCTGACAATAGTAATACACTGGACCCTGGTAGCCTGTTTTCAAATATGTAGATCAATAATATCAAAATCATACAAATAAATTTATGAAGCCTTATATTGACATTTAATCTACATTTTTGTTCTCTATTAGGTGTGGTGAAACAACTAAATAAGCTATCACAATAACTTTCTATCATCTTGGTGTTTATATATTTTAAATAAAACATTATACTTTATACCCTGACTTCACACAAAATTCTAACTTGGACAAACCTCAAATAAACCATTTTTTGCAAATGGACTTCATTTTGATCTTTTTTTCCATGGACCTACATAATTCAGTATACGGTAAATTACTACTGTATTTAAAATGATTGTGTGGTTAACACATCACCTTTAATCTAATGATATCTAGCAGCATGAGATCGAACCATTGTTTCCTTGAAAAGAAACTTTACACTAATTGCTCAGTACTGGTTGGTTCCAGGTTGTGTCTTTAGCTTATAGCTTCTTACACAATTGAACTACATGTATAATAAATTCTGTATAAACTAAATTATTAGTGGTCTAGTGTTTTACAATGAAGTTAATAACTACTCCATACCAAGGAATAATTAATTTCATTTACAGGAAATAAAGAACTGGTGACTTTAAATCTAGTGGGTTTTTTTTTTTTCATATATAAATAAAACATAAGGTTGATGAGTCACGGAGGCAGACAGATAAATGGTTGCCAAAATACGGAGATCATTGATTATATAGGAGAATATGCAGACACAAATTACAAGTATCAAATAAAGCTCATCTCCAGACTTGCAACAGACAGAAATAAGAACATGTAACTGGGGACTTATTTAATAGTATATTGATAAAATGCTGGCAAAAATGTAGAAACTAAATTATAGTACAAAATACTTTTATAATCATGGACAAATTTTAATATGATTAACTTTCAAAAAACATAAAGGATAAAATAAAGTCAGATATAAAGTCTGCTAGATTCTGTTTGAATGCTTAGTATATATGGCAATTACAGCAAAAATGGCTGCAATCATGTATCTTTTTACTTTCAAAAACAATTCTTTTAATTACTTTCAACACAATTCTATTAAGTTTTTACAAATTCCAAGTTAAAAAGGCAAAGCGCGAAAAACATTTCTTTCAAATATTGACCATGAAAATGCATTAAAGTCAGATAATTCAGCCATGTATTCATGATCATATGCAAAAATTCTAGTTGTAAGTCATGTCAGACTAAAGTTGTGTAATTCAGTGACTTTCCATCAGGGGCATTGTCAGTTTATGGTGCCAGTTTACGAAAACAAACAAATCTAGAACTGAAGTCAGGAAAGGGGCATAACTATATATGTTAAAGGCCAATAAAGAATAGCTGAGCTTGCTTGTGTCCCTTTATAAGAAATATTATGAGAGTTTTTCAGTTGCCTTGCTCATTGTAAAATTCTGATATTTAGGAACTTTATCAAAATGCTAATATGATCAGTCAAAATTCTGGTCAAAATGAAGGAAAAATGCCTGCTGCTGTTGATATATACAGTGTTTCATGACTGACATAACTTTGCACTTGCTGAAATTTAACCTTCACAGTGTGACAGTTATTAATTAGTAGGCAAGTTTTCAACAAGTATGCAAATCAGATTAAAACCTTTTAACATTCTTCTCTACTTAAATTACCTTAGATGGGGCAACAAACACATGTAGTCATGTCAATAAAACATGTTTTATCTCTTTAGTTTTCTTCTGTCACCTTCAACATACTTGTTAACAATGGATATGAACATTTTGTTGAAATTATGTGATATTTACTTTACATGAAATGATATTATGTAAATTTGTATCAATAAAAAGAACACAAAAGCGCATAAAGACTGACAATTAAGACAATTTCATATAATATTTTTGAATAACTAAATCTATAAGCCAGTATTTATAAGTGGTTTTTTTTCTGGGAGACAGGTCAATGGGGATATTAATACTTGGGGTAAAAAACTGATGTGATGATTGTATTGCCCTGCTGCAAATTTATAAATTTAATTTGTTGATTTAACAAAAGAGATATATATTAATTTGTTATAAAATATCTTGAGAAGTTAAACACCAATTTCCGTTTTTTGACACATGCTGCCTCAAATAATCTCATGTCATATTGAGTAAAACTTCTTACACAGAAACTTTATTCACAACTTCAAAAAAACATTATTGTTAAATCTTAAGACTTTCAGCAGCCATGCCACGGCTCTCTGAAAATCAACGTAATTAGGCTACTGGGATGGTGCAAGCAGGTGCTAGGGTTATGGACATTGCACAGCAGTTTGGCTGCTCTAGGCAAACAATTGATATTCTTAGTACATGGTTCGGTAATACTGGATCTGTTCATGATCGTCTGAGATCCGGTGCACCTCATGTGACGTCACTAAGGGACGGCCAAGTCATTAGGCTGAATCACCAACACAACTTTTTTTTTGAATGCTACAGCTACTGCTCGGCAGCTACGAGTCAATGCCCAAACTATCTGAAATCACCTTATGCAATCCCACATTCCAATTTGTGCCTGCAGACCATATACTGGTCAGATACCGAGATCCAGCCATATGGTCACAATGCTGGCCTGGGCACAGCTTTTCTTAAGCTGGACACGAAACCAGTGGGGTTGGGGTATTTTCAGCGATGAATTACGCTTGCCATTAGGTCATGCTGACTGTAGGGTACGAATTTATGGTCGCAGAAATGAACGTTTCGCACAATGTTGCATCCGGAAAAGGGATAGGTTTGGTGGGGGAAGTGTGAATGGGGAGGTATTATGAGGGATTAAAAGACCGAGCTTGTTGTTGTGCGCGGCAACCTTACAGCAGCTTAACTTTCCAACAAGACAATGCAACACCACACTCTGCGGGTTTAACAGCAAATTTTCTAGCTCGCAACCACATATCGTCTTGCCCTGACCCACTGTCTCCCCAGATATGAGTGAAGTATACATATAATTATAATCAAACTGACATAATTTCCTATAATCTAGACTTAAAGCATTTTATGTTTTCATCATTGTTTGTAATTGGAGTGTACTAACAGGTAAGAAGAGTATAATTGAGCAATTTTGATTAGGATGCTATATTTGGCAGGATGTGCAGTTCATGTATATATATACATACTTACAAACTAAAAGACATACCATGTATCATATCTAAAATCACTCTTTCAAAACATGCCGCATGTTTATATATTGCCTATATGGTAAAATATACACTGAATGAAAATTCAGCTACAAATTATTGACATAAAATATATATTAATTTACAAGCTGTTGCAATAAAATAACAGAATTGATAAAAATAAATATAGTATTGTTTGTGAGTTAAACAAATGGAACTGTTCTGTTTTATAATGCTGTTCACATGAAGTTGTTTTAGTACATTAGCAGTCAGCTGAGTACAATGAACCATCAAATGAACAGATATTGATTTAGTCTAATATACTCAAATTGGGTTTCCTCATCTATACTTTGCAATTAATGCAATATACAAATCAAATTAAATAGAAACACAAACTGTAAATCTAATTGTCCATTTTATTCATCGTGGAATACCCACATTTGATACATGTAACATAAAAAGTCATGTAAATGTTAATGGTTTGGCCATGGGTATCCAACAATGACTTTATTATGATGAGAGCATAAAGTTAAAGTGGGATAACTGTTAACTAAGTGTAGAAAGACCATGCTTTATATAATTTATTTTCTCATTTGGCAATGGTCTTCTATATTTTCACATGAAAAAATTGGGTTTGTTGGGTTACCCTCTCCTTTTCCTTAATACATTTCAAAGATAGGTAGGTGTAGTCTTCACTGCATTATCTGAGGTAAGTATGATTTGTGGTAAGTATGATTTGTGGTAAGTATGATCTGTGGTAAGTATGATTTGTGGTAAGATCTGTGGTAAGTATGATCTGTGGTAAGTATGATTTGTGGTAAGATCTGTGGTAAGTATGATTTGTGGTAAGATCTGTGGTAAGTATGAGTTGTGGTAAGGATGATCTGTGGTAAATATGATTTGTGGTAAGTATGATTTGTGGTAAGTATGATTTGTGGTAAGTATGATTTGTGGTAAGTATGATTTGTGGTAAGTATGATCTGTGGTAAGTATGATTTGTGGTAAGTATGATTTGTGGTAAGTAAGATTTGTGGTAAGTATGATTTGTGGTAAGTATTATTTGTGGTAAGTATGATCTGTGGTAAGTATGATTTGTGGTAAGTATCATTTGTGGTAAGTATCATTTGTGGTAAGTATGCATAAGTATGATTTGTGGTTAGTATGATCTGTGGTAAATATGATTTGTGGTAAGTATAAGGTTTTTCAAGGATCAGACTCCAGATGTCAGCATTACATATCTTGGTAAATGTCTTTACATACAAGGCCACAAATTTTTACACAATGTTGACTATGTATCACTGTGTAGAAGATATAGTAAAAGAGATTGCAGAAAGTGTCAATTAAACTATATAACAACTACATGTTGATGGCCTTCAGTCATTATAAGTACAACTACATGGCCACAGTACGGGACCTTTAAGGCTCTTATTAAGTAACATTATGATAAGATCTGTAAAATTTAATGTAAAGTGAACAAACATCTGCACTTGTTATAAACTATAATTATACAATGCATGTACAGTAATTATACTTTATCAACAGATTGATTTTTTCAATGGAAAGTTTCAACATATTTACTTTTGAGAGCCTTTGAATATGGGTGGCTTCTCAATTGAAAAAAATATGCTGGATTTTTCCCAATTTAATCAGTGAATTTCTCAAAATAATAAATGTCTTGGATACATTTAAGGGAATTTCAATGATAAATCAGTGCCTTCACACCCTAGGGTGAATTAATGAACAAGAATGTTCACCTTTTTAAGGCCTTTAAGGATAAACAACCTTTGTACTATAAATAAGGAATGAGGGAGTTTTTGTTTGCTTTTTTTAAGCCATTCCACTTTTTGCCCAATATTTGACAAAAACTTGTGCTTAATTTTCCCAAAAGGAAAGGCCACAGCCTCATTCCTATTTCTGGAGAGAAGAAAAAACACCTACTTGCTGCAATGGTATTTAGGATTATGCTCCATAAAATGAGATACGGCTAATTAAAAAATATTCTAATTATATGTCAGGTGTAAATGCATGATGCTTTTTGTAGTGTCAACAAGTTTTTGTGTTGTCACGAACTTCACTGTACGATGACAAACTGCCTTTTACAACAAGTTTCAACTACTGTTATAATATATTTATAAGATGGCCTTAAGCCAAAACTGAAGCATTATGTGATGTTTTTTTTTTTCTTTTCAGGCATAGATACTTTTCTATTGATTAACAGCATTGGCATTTAATCTGGAATATTTTAGTCAGCTTCATACCCCCATAAATGATATCTATAGCATAGACAAGTCATGCTACCAAAACATAACAATCTTTTTAAAGAATATCACCAAGAAGTCAGACACTGAGAATCAAATCGAAGACCAATCTAACTGATAAATAAATGCTGAGGCATCCGATGACAAATTTCCATCAATGTCTGCGAGTGGTTCTCAAAATCCATGGCTTTGTTCAATCTCTGCTGCATGTATATTGAGTGATTTGTCCAGTAGACTGCTAACTGTTTTAAAATCACAAACCCTCCAGTTCATCCACTGAGAATAATATCTCAGTTATTCCTCAGCTCATGACACTTTATCATGTGTGCTGTCAACCAAACAGCAGCCCCTTTAGTATACAGTGCCCTGACAATTGCTACACAAGAGTTAGGAAAGATATTCATCCAACACACTTATCCTACTTCTACATTAATTAATACAACATAATAATTATAATACTTACAAGTGTTTCATTTTCAGTTTTAATGAGAGCAATTTTACGCTCCAATCTCTGGGTCTGTGTCTGTAGTTCTGTGACTTTCTTTTGTAACTGACGATCCCTCTCTTCTTGTTTACGATTCTGAAAATATATGTATCAACACACAATGTAATATATAATAATTACTTCGTAAAATAATTATGAAGATCTCATACTTAAAGTCTTGTCTTAACAAACAATTTAATTTTGAAAATTGGCAGTTGAGTCCAAATAACTTTTTTTCAGTTGCTCAATGTTAGACGACAAGAGGTCATGAATTAATTAAAACTTTATAGTCAACAACCATGTATATTCATGTGTAAGATAGTGATAGTGGTGAGTCCTACAATAGTTTATATAATATAATGTGTATCATTTAATCCCTGCATTCATTTTCAACATATTCTGTGAGTGACCTCTTCAATGAATTTATCTACACATTTTAATAACTTATAATGTTAATATTGATCAAACAAAGTGATCATTTTTATTCTTCATTTACCTTTCATCATTATTCGACCTTCCAAAGAAACCAATATTTATGTGAAACTATATCAAACATTTATTTTGTAGTTCTTCTATTAATTAGTAACAAAATATATGATGTATTTTAGAATAATTATACTAAAGTGACGTACTGTACATTGACCAGTTATCTTTTAAACTACTGAAGTAACCATTAATACTTAACTAGTACAATAATGGAAGTAATTAAGAACAATTTGATATAATTAAAAGCACCTTAAACCTCTCTGGTGTTGCTGGACGATCACATGACCTTAAATTCCAATAATCTCCGAGGGCAAACCCTCGAGGTTCCTCATACCTGTCCTCGTAATCATTATAACTAGGTGTCCTCTCCCTTTCTTTCATTAACTCCATTATCTTATATATAAGCTATACAGCCTGTGTGTGACCATTTAATCTATTATAACAATATAATTATACATGTACATCAAAACCAATTCTTTACACTCATTCAACCAAAAGAATAAAATATCTGATTATTCAATTAACTATTTTTTCATTTTTGGTAACTCAATATGCTTTTGCTTCTGCATTTTAAGCATAACACTACAGGATTACATCCATTATAACTTGGAAATGTTCGCAAAATAACTTTTGTTTCAATTGTAACAGTTAATCACATTTTGAACACTCTTTTTATCCATATATACTTTCTATCTATACTATATACAACACCTAGATCATGCCTGGGTTATGGTAGTAACAGTATCTAAATTTCCATGAATTATTTATTCATGTTATATTACACACATCTGTCTTAATTCTGATCAACTATATACATCTCAGTGTCATCAAACATGTGTATTTTACCACAAATTAACAACCTAAATATTTCATACATCTCTTAATGGCAAACACTAACTTGTTTATATTACCGCTGAAGGTTTTACCAGTTGTAATTAAATGATACAACATTAAACGTGGTTGTGATGTTTTTGCTACGTTTGGCTGATAGATGAAATCTGACATGGACAGTGTCTGTCACATGAAATATTATACTGTAACAATGTAACAAAATGATGGGCATGTCACTGAAAAATCTCTTTCAAGCTGCATAATTAATGTAGCCTTGTCGCAAAACATCAAATGCTTCTGTCTTACTCTCAACAAAAATGTTTTGTACCAAAAAAAGATTTAATTCTTTCAATATTGTAGGGTCCAAAGTGTTAAAAGTGATATATCTATACCAAGGTTACATTTCCACCCAAAGTTATCAATCTTTATTATATCAAAAAACAACATGCATTCAGAGAGACAATTTCAACAAGATTCAATTTCTATTTAAATAGATTTTTTTTAACATTCCTTAGTGTTCAATTAAATTTCCATGTTTATTTCCTGATGTTTATTTCCATAAGTTACTGCACAATATAAGCCTAATAAGCTCTGTCCTATTTCAACACATTCAAATAAGTAAGTCATGAAGATTTTTTAATATCTCGTTATGTTTTATATGACAACACTGATTAAAAATTGCTTCATACATTAACACACGGTCCTAGCTTCCTGTACCGCCACCACATAGATAGGTTGTGGTTCTACCGATTCACTTTTATCCGGTTGTGCATTTTTACTTCTGTATGTTAAAAAGGTATTCCAGCATAACCAGACTGATATAACACCGATGAGTAACCCTAATGCACACAGAAGATACACAAAAAGATAATATTCTATGCCATCCATATTCTTAGTATAACAACAGAAATATCTATCAAATTCAAACACACACTTTGGCTGTAACCTAGTCTAGTTATCAACATTTTAACATCCTTTTCCAGTGGTTTTTAACTTGAAAGATACTCATCAAATTACCTGTCAACCATCAATCATAAATACAGTTATTGCCCTTAAACCAAATTTTAGCAATTTTTACAAGTTAACTTATAAAAATTGATTAAAAATCAATTGACCTTTGACCGCATTCTTGACTTTTAAATACCTGACTGTAGTAAAAATTTCAAACTTCTATCATAATAATTATTGGATTTATTTAGCAAATCACTCCTTTTAAAATATTTTCTCTCCCAATTTCCCCAAAAGATTTACAATATTTATATTCATATATTTCACGACTGAGAGACCATCAGACCTTGATTTTCACACACATTATATGACATGTTTAATCCAGCTTTGAAGCTTGCCTTTTCATTGTTGACACTTTTATAATACCAAAACTCAAATAAAGCTTCACTTTGCAATTTAACCAAAATTTAAATTCTTAAAACTTAGTGATATCAAATTTTCATACAAAATCAAAAACAAAAAATCAAAACTATAAACTTCATTGGTCATTATAATAAAATGTCCTACAGCAAAATTTTACATTACAATTTACAACAATCACAACACTGTATTTGTTGATACAAAAATGTTAACATGGATTTTTATAAGATAAATATGTGATATCATCGTGTTGTAATGAGACTCCATTAGAAGTTTTTACATGTTGAACAGGCAATCACTGTGAATATACTAGTACAAAATAAATCTTGTGGACTATAGTCAGGTAACGGTGCCCTAATTAGCTACCAGCAACCATGTTTTCTCAAATAACACTAGGACTGTTTACTTCTATGGGAAGGGAAGCAAATCCTTGTCACAAAAGTTTTCATTAATTGTACTTCAAATGTTGCAATACTACAGAGCATAATGGTTGGTTCAAGACAGATATGACAACGAATATTATAAACAGAAATAAGGCTTCAAATGAAACTTATTGAAAACCTAGTTGTATAGACATTAACGGTATACCAAGCTTTCCCAAATGTACAGTCTGACATGAAATTGACTGTATAATATATCTAACATTACTGAGGCCACAGTCCAACATGAAATTGACTGTACAATGTATCTAACATTATTGAGGCCATAGTCCAACATGAAATTGACTGTACAATGTCTCTAACATTACTGAGGCCACAGTCCAACATGAAATTGACTGTACAATCTCTCTAACATTACTGTGGCCACAGTCCAACATGAAATTGACTGTACAATGTATCTAACATTACTGTGGCCACAGTCCAACAAGACATTGACTGTACAATGTATCTAACATTACTGTGATTAACATGAAATTGACTGTACAATGTATCTAACATTACTGTGGCCACAGTCCAACATGAAATTGACTGTACAATCTATCTAACATTACTGTGGCCACAGTCCAACATGAAATTGACTGTACAATATATCTAACATTACTGTGGCAGTAGTCCAACATGAAATTGACTGTACAATCTATCTTACATTACTGTGGCCACAGTCCAACATGAAATTGACTGTACAATGTATCTAACATTATTGTGACCACAGGTCCAACATGAAATTGACTGTACAATGTCTCTAACATTACTGAGGCCACAGTCCAACATGAAATTGACTGTACAATGTATCTAACATAATTGAGGCCATAGTCAACACATGAAATTGACTGTACAATGTATGTAACATTATTGTGACCACAGTCCAACATGAAATTGACTGTACAATGTATCTAACATAATTGAGGCCATAGTCCAACATGAAATTGACTGTACAATGTCTCTAACATTATTGTGACCACAGTCCAACATGAAATTGACTGTACAATGTCTCTAACATTACTGAGGCCATAGTCCAACAAGACATTGACTGTACAATGTATCTAACATTACCGTGGCAACAGTTCAACATGAAATTGACTGTAAAATTTATCTAACATTACTGAGGCCACAGTCCAACATGAAAGTGACTGTACAATGTATCTAACATTACGGTGGCCACAGTCCAACATGAAATTGACTGTACAATGTATCTAACATTACCGTGGCCACAGTCCAACATGAAATTGACTGTACAATGTATCTAACATTACCGTGGCCACAGTCCAACATGAAATTGACTGTACAATGTATCTAACATTACCGTGGCCACAGTCCAACATGAAAGTGACTGTACAATGTATTTAACATTACTGTGGCCACAGTCCAACATGAAATTGACTGCACAATGTATCTAACATTACCATAGCCATAGTCCAACATGAAACTGACTTTACAATGTATCTAACATGATTGTGGCCACAGTCCAACATGAAATTGACTGTACAATCTATCTAACATTATTGTGGCCACAGTCCAACATGAAATTGACTGTACAATCTATCTGACATTACTGAGGCCACAGGCCAACATGAAATTGACTGTACAATGTATCTAACATTACCGTGGCCACAGTCCAACATGAAATTGACTGCAAAATCTATCTAACATTATTGTGGCCACAGTCCAGCATGAAATTGACTGTACAATATATCTAGCATTATTGTGGCCACAGTCCAACATGAAATTGACTGTACAATCTATCTGACATTATTGAGGCCACAGACAACATGAAATTGACTGTACAATGTACAGTAAAAACTCTGAAAACCGGACCCTCTGAAAACCGGAATCCTCTGAAAACCGGACCATTTTAAAAGTCCCGTATTTTCTCCCTATATGTTCATTGAAAAAAAAATCCTCTGAATACCGGAACCTCTGAATTCCGAAAACCGGACGATTTTCTATGGTTTCTAATGCTAAACATGAATT